AATTTGGTTCGAAAATTAGTTTAAAGCTAGGCAATTATTTAAATACACAAAAATAATTTATAAAAATGCTTGATAAATAAGTAAAAATATTATTTATACATTGAAATGGTTAAAAATGATAACTTAATATTATAAAAATGTAAAATGCTATTTTGACATAACTAAAGAGCATTTCTATATGAGTATAGGCTATTACTGCAAAATTATGCAAATAACTTTAAAAATACTAATGTAATTATATTTAATGAAATAAAATGTTCGAAAGATTTATTATAGGTGCAAAAATAATTATTTTAGTTAGCTAAGTCATCACAAAATAATTTGAGGGATAATTATTAGATATTTATATATTAATAATCTAAAAGAAATCAATTTTGAGCTTTAAAAATTATGGAAAATTATAGAAAATGCTTGTATAGGTTTGTAAACTAAATAATGACGCAAATATACTATATTGAAAGTATATATATATTTTTAGAAATATGAGAGAAAAATTGGGTATCAACAGTTATGAGGTTCGGAAAGAGGGGCAAGCTGAGCCCAAGGTTTGTTGATCCCTTTGAGGTGTTGCGGCGTGTTGGGAGGTTGCTTATGAGCTTGCCTTACCTCCAGCCTAGCAGGAGTTCATCCGGTATTTCATATTTCTATGCTTCGGAGGTATCACGGTGATCCGTCTCACGTGTTGGATTTTAGCTCAGTCCAGTTGGACAAGGATCTATGTTATGTTGAGGAGCCAGTGGCTATATTGGACAAGCAGGTTTGAAAGTTGAGGTCAAAGAATATTGCATCAGTAAAGGTTCAGTGGCGGGGTCAGCCGGCCGAGGAGGCGACTTGGGAGACCGAGCAGGATATGCGCAGCCGTTATCCTCATCTTTTCAACACTTCAGGTATGTCTCTATGCTCGTTCGAGGACAAACAAATATTTTAAGAGGGGGAGGATGTGATGACCCGGCCGGTCGTTGAGAGTTAGAGCCCCGATCCCCTATTAACTTCTTTCCCCGTATCTATTTCTGCTATTTTGACTTGCCGGGATGATTCGTCTTGAGTTTCGGAGTGTTTTGGGACACTTAGTCCCTAAATGGGAGCCTAAATCTTAAGATTTGGACCGTAGTCGGAACAGTGTGAAGACTGCTCCAGAGTGGAGTTCCATCGATTTCGTTAGCTCCGTTGGATGATTTTGAGCGTAGGGGCGTGTCCGGATTATATTTTTGAGGTCCATAGCTTATTTAGGCTTGAAATGGCGAAAGTCGAATTTTTGAAGATTCGAACCGGTAGTAGAATTTTTTATATCGAGGTCGGAATCCGATTTCGGAAGTTGGAGTAGGTCCGTAGTGTGGATTATGACTTTTGTGCATAAATTTGAGGTCAATCGGACGTGGTTTGGTTGGTTTCGGCATCGGTTATCGAATTTGGAAGTTTCAAGTTCATTAAGGTAGAATCGGAGGTTGATTTGTGTTTTAGCATTGTTTGATGTGATTTGAGTGTTCGACTAAGTTTGTATGGTGTTTTAGGATTGGTTGGTATGTTTGGTTGAGGTCCCGGGGGTCTCGGGTGTGTTTCGGATGCTCAACGGGTTAAAATTTGGACTTGTGCATATTCTGAAGTTGGCCGGTTCTGGTGTTTTCGCACCTGCGGTGGGAAGCCCGGGTGCGCCCCCGCAGAAGAGAGGAAGGAGTCGCAGGTGCGGGTTTGGGCATAAAGGCCAGGGGTCGCAGATGCGACGAGGGAGTAGCAGGAGCGGAGCCGTATCTTCGGAAGGGTAGTCGTGGATGCGGAGGTGTGAAGGACCCAAGGCTCCGTAGAAGCGGACGATTAGCCGCAGAAGCGCATCCGCAAATACGGACGAAGGAGCGCAGGTGCGAACTCTGGAGTTGAATGAAAACTCGTAGATGCGGAGTCCCTGTCGCAGAAGCGAGACCGCAGATGCTGTCCTGGGAACACAGAAGCGGAAATCGATGGGCAGAAAAGGGGATTTTCGAGGGTTTGAAATTCATATCACAAATTTTAATTTGGAGCTCGGTGAAAGGCTTCGAGAGATTTTGAAGGAGAGCTATTGGGTAACTATTCCTAACTCGATTTTGATCATATTACATTAACATATTGTTGTATTCTTCATCTAATTAGGGGATTTGAGTGAGGAAGTTGGGAAAAGGGGGAAAAAGTTCCACAACCAAGAACTTGAGTTTTGAGTGGGATTTAGGTGTTGGTTTTGGATGATTTTTGTACTAGTGAACTCGTGAGATTATGGTGTTCGTATTTAGTTACTTTTACCCGATTCCGAGACTTGGGCCCGGGAAGGCTTTTGAGCGGTTTTTCCAATTTCTTGCTTTAACTTTGTTTCCGTTCATTAGATTTGCTTCTTGTAGTTGTATTTATGTTATGTAATTGGTTTTGGCTAGATTTGGGCCGTTCGAAGCCGGATATCCGTAGAAAGAGCATTGTTTCGGATTGATTGAGCTTAGTTCGAGGTAAGTGGCTTGCCTAACCTTGTGTGGGGGAACTCCCCTTAGGATTTTGGTACTATTTGATATGAGCGTCGTGTACATGAGGTGACGAGTGTGTACCCGGGCTATTTTTTGGAAAACTCCGTTCCATTAAGTAAAACATCTGTTTTCCTTAAATTGAGCTACACTAGCCTATGTAATTGTCCTTTTAGTTTAGAAAAGCATGCCTACGTGCCTTAACTGCTTATCTGAATTCTGTGTAGCATATTTAGTGAAATTTCCTGTTCTTCCTTGACTCGGACTTAGCCTAAATTGTGGTTTTCTTGTTGTAACTGTTATTTCTGTTGGTTGAGCTGCATATTTACTTTGGGGCTACAGAATCCCCATGTTCTGCATATTTACTTTGGGACTACGGAACGGTATTCCGGTAGCTCCCCCTGTTCTGCATATCTACTTTGGGACTACGGAACGGTATTTTGGTAGATTCCCCCCGAACATTTACGTTTGGGTCTACCGAACGGTATTCCGGTAGATCCCCCTGCACATTTACGTTTGGGACTACGGGACGGTATCCTGGGAGATCCCCTGTTGTTATTTCTGTGTATTGAGCTGTTGTTTTTTGTGGTTTCATTCTCATTAAATTTTAGTATCTATCTTTACCGGGTACCGTTGTGGTGTACTCATGCCCTTTCCTTGTGTAGATCCAGGTACCGCACATCAATTACATTACCAATGAGACGAGGCGACTGTAGAGACTTCAAAGTATATCTGCCGCTTCCGCAGACCTCGGAGTCCCTATCTACTCTTCCTCAAGTTAAAGACTTCTTGTATTTTCTTGAGTTTAGAAGCACTGTTTTCTTTCTGTAGCTTGTCACTTATGAGTTATGACATTCCGGGATTTGGGAGAGTTTAAGTACTTTTCGAAAGTGACTATTGGAAATGCCGAGCGGCAACTCATTTTCTTGTTTAAATTTTCCTGTTAGTTGATTCGTTCCTTTTTCTGCAATGTTAGGCTTACCTAGTCGTAGGGATCAGGTGCCGTCACGACGGTTCACGGAGGGAGAACTTGGATCGTGACAATGAAAAAAGTCCATAATATGAATTTATAATCTAGCATGTCCTAATTTCTAATAATCAAATTGTATCTTCGCCTGCAAATGAATGTTCCCATCTCCATATGGATCAAACGTGGAACTCCTTCGATGATAACAATATTATTGAATCAATTTCATTAGAGACGGATTTAAGTGGAGGTGGTGGGGTACATGCACCCATGCTCGCTCCCTAGGCTATGTTAAAATATTAATTTTTTCAATTATGTGGTTAAATATATTTGTGGCCACCAATGCTTAAGCGATTGTTTTGGTGCATTGGTAACTAAGTGCCCCTCTTATCTCCTTTTTGTCCCCAAGGTCAAGGGTTTAATCCCCATACAATTCTTTTTGATTAATTTCTTTTATAATTAATTACAACAAATAAATTCCTAATTTCCCACACCCTTTTCAATTAACAGCATATCCCTATGCCCTTTCTTTCTTTTCAATTAACAAACAAATACATTTTGTTTTTTACTTTTTTATAAGAAAAATCCCTTTTGCCTACGTCTTTTTTATTTTCTTCTCCTAATCATACTTTTGAGTACAAACACTTTGAAATCCCTAAAAGCAAAGTACTCATGACTCGTCTCTCTCGGCTCCGAGGCTCTCAGTAGATTCAAAACAGGAAAACCCCTGTTCAATATTAAGCGTCGCTTTTAAAAACTTTTTTGAATGATTGTTTAATTTGCTATATAGAGCGTGAGATATTTAAAACTATAAGTAATAATATTATTATTGACTGTTTTCAATAAAAACTCGTCGAGGACAATTGTAAAGTGAATGACTTTTTTTGAGAATATAGTATTAATATAGTTTGCTCTCAACTTGCCGGCATCATAAAATTTTATATAATGGAACCAAACATTTATCTTAAAGATAATAGTGCACCTATGGTATTAAAATCCTGAATACGCCTCTGAATTTCATGTGTCATCATTGAAACTTAACGCATTGTGATAGTAAAGCTATACAATTATTTTTGGATCATACTAAAGTACTAAACTTTTATGCACTAGACCGGTAAAGTCACAAATTTATCTCTTCTTATGTTTAATTTCACGTGTGATCACTAAAACTTTACGCACTATAATAATAAAATTATAAAACCTTCGTTAAAGTAATTGAACCTAACACACTATAACTCTAAAATCACAAAACTAACTCACAGAATTTTACCCAATATAACAGTAAAATCACCTTTATACGTAGTTTGTCCTTATAGCCGGTAAAGTTCAGTAATATTATTGTTATAGTGATTAAAGATCAGTAATTTTACTATTATATTGGGTAAATTTATGATATATAGACATTTATATTCGTCATCTTTAGCCCGTTCCAGATTCTCACCAAATTGATAAAGATGTACTCGAACTCAGTATTTACACCAAGTGGTTACAGATCTATTAAGCTGCATAAAAATATTTATTTTTAGCTATAAAAGACCTTAAATGATTGAAGAAGAGAATCGGCTAATACAAAATACAACAAACAGTGTTTAAATTAGAGAAAAGTATATGAATACTTCCCCACTTTGCTGCTGAGCAGCTGCACACGAATTTCAGCACACAATCATATTTTCAATGACATATCCTAGGAGAATTTCTTTCGGAGTTGTTTGATCACTTTCTTATCAAGCTGGAAACCTTTGGCAAGAACATCGTCCAGAATAGGTGGATCTGATGCAAAGATTGAATTCGGAATCATGATAACTCCAGGATTTTGACTGTTGAGAGAAGCCAGAAAAGTAGCATTTTTGTTTCCCACATTATATTGGAAGTGAATAAGCCCCTGTGGGATCGCAAAAACATCGCCTGGATTCAAGATTTTGGAGAAGAGACGACTCTTAAAGATGTTTGGAGAATCAGGGAGAAGAAATCCAGCATAAATAGTACCATCCAACATAGTTACGATCTCAGTAGCTCGAGGGTGCGTGTGAAGTGGAACTAGACCCTGTGGTTCCATGTCAACACGAACTATAGAAATACCAAGAGTGTTGAATCCAGGCATTGTGTTTACATCCACAACATTTATAGCAAAACCAAACTTAGCCATTGCATTTCCACTTACATTAATTAAGACCTGAAGCAAAGAAATCATCTGCTTTTGCCAGCTTTGGGTCTTTACAAATCTTTCCATTCACGAATACTGCATAAATGAAATGAAATGAAGCTAGAGTATCATTCAGATAGTATATATATTAAGAGCTAAGAGAAGCCAGAAATTATACAGCATATTGTTCAAAACAGGAAGCTTTTGTGATTATACTAGGATGATTTACCAGAAGCATTCGAGTCGTTAACTGTAACACATATGTCCTGTAGCGGGTTGAGATCATATGTATAAGCTAATTGGGAAGAAAAGAAAGCAGCAATGGCTAAAGTTGTTATTAACCAGCTCATGGTCATTGCTATAGCAAAGTCTGGTTTCTTAGCAAAAACTCAAGCTTTGTCCTGGAAACAAGTTTAGGTGTGATTTTTATATAGAACTAAACATTTTTAATATCCTCGTTGTCATTTTTCTGTCATTTTTAATATCCTTGTTTCCATTTGTTCAAAAGAATAATACAGGTAATTTCTCATTTTTAAATGCAGTTCAAGTTCAATAAGGAACCATTAATATCAAGAAATATGAGGGGTCAACTTCACAACTCTCAGCACAAGGCTTAATATTTTAAATATTCAAGAAAATGGTTTAATGATAGAAATGCCTTAAAAACCCATCAAATAGCTAGTCAAAAATAATATTTCAGCCTGTCTTAGTCTTAACTTTAAATCAGTTTCCTTACCTAAGAAACTTTTAATACCATAAATAATAAAGCAAAGAGGAACATGCCTGATTTTAAAATGAGAAGGTGCAATACATATGATAAGGAATTTTGATAACTAAAATATAATGATTCATAGTTTATTTCTTTTTGTTTGTACTGAGTTAGAAGCAACCAATTATTCTATTTAGCAATACAAATACACCTGTACTAGGTTGTTAAGATGTAACATCCCCATTCTATTTAGCGATACAAATCAAATTCCAGCGCAAGGAATTGCATTTGATAATTGTATTACATATTATCAAAGAAGAAACAAGGTTCATTTTGATTTGCATCTAAAATTACATAGTTCAATACTCAGATGAGAAACTGATGTTACCTTTTATTGCTGAAGATCATAGGCTTTTGTTTCAGGCAAAATCATATCATGCCCTGAACTACAGGTAGAGTCTTTAGCTTCAATTGTCTATAAAGCCATGAAATATATGCGCGAATTCATGTTTATTAAGGATGCCTCAATGATCATAAGACTTTTCATTTATGACTTTACCATTTTTCAAACTTTTTTTTCACAAAAGAAACATGGACTACAGAGGATGGTGGCATGGATCTGAACCTCCTATGATCACAAGTAGGGGTGTACAACCGAACCGAAAATCGCACCAAACCAAAAGGTTAAACCAAACCGAATAAAAATCCTTATTAGGTTTGATTTGATTTGGTTTGGTATTGAGTAAAAAAAAACCAAACCAAACCGACATATAAATATATAATTTTTATATATACTTTTAAAACTTTTTATATAATTTTCTTCACAAAAAATCAAGATATATTTGCAATTCTCTTATGGGATGTAATATTTAGTTAAATATGAAGTGCTCCATATTTATTAACTTTAAATAATATGTTATATGATCACTTTCTTATCAAGTGTTAGTGAAATGTGTCAATCTCTTTGTTCTTCCATATTCATATGTCAATATCTGTGAAATTTTTATATATTTTTCGAATTTGAGATGGTATTTCGTTAATTTAAAATTAAATAGAACATATATATATTTGTTTAATTATTAAATTTGATTAACCTTGAAAGTGTACATGAATATAAAATTATTGTCAGACGACTAAATAATAACTATTCATGTGTTACTAAGAAAATTTTTCCATAAGAATATTTTGATAGACCATATATTTATCAATTTTTTCAATTGTTACTAAACATATATTTACTTATCAAAAATTAACAAAGTAAGATTGAAATAAAATTCATATAACAAAAAAAAATCCGAAAAACCCCGATAGAACCTAACCAATTCAAACCAATATAGTTGGTTTGGTTTGATTTTGATAAAAAAAAAAAAAACGAACCAACCCGGTCCATCTACACCCCTAATCACAAGACTGAACACATAAAGGGCAGCCCGGTGCACTAAGCTCCCGCTATTCGTGGGGTCCGGGGAAGGGCCGGACCATAAGGGTCGAAATGGTATAGATGTTTCATATAGCCAAGGCGAATTCAGACGAGACTGTTCGATTAATTTGTTTTTAAACTGCTCACAAGAGAAGTACATGATACTCAAACAGAGTATATATTACAATTACGGAGCTCAGAAGCCAACATTTTAGTTTATTGGTGCTGTATTCATCTGCTAAAGGAATTTGTTACCCTTTGTCATATAAAGGAAATGAGTTCCCTTCTCTATGTAGTTTTAGTGTTAGTCTAGTTTTGTCTTGTTCTTAGATTACTATTACTACGTTGTTGCTTCTGCTTCTGTTGTTGTTACTGTCTAGCTGTTGTTACTACTTTTTTGCCATGACTTCACTGTTGTATTTCTTTTCCTTACTGCTGCATTGATGCTTGACTTGGAGCCGAGGGTGTATCGGAAACAGCCTCCCTACCTGCACAAGGTGGGGATAAGGCCTGGGTACACTCTAACTTCCCGAAACCCAACTTGCAGGACTATACTGAATACGTTATTGTTGTACATAATGGACAAAAAACAGGTAAAAGAAAATACAACAGTGTTAAAATTAGAGAAAAGTATAAGAATACTTTCATACATCGTTGGTGAGTAGCTGCACACAACTTTCAGCACACAATAATATCTGTAATGACATATTCTAGGAGAATTTCTTTCGAAGTTGTTTAATCACTTTCTTATCGAGCTGGAAACCTTTGGCAAGAACATCGTCAAGAATAGGCGGATCTGAAGCAAAAATTGAATTAGGAATTGTGACGACTCCAGGGTTTTGACTGTTGAAAGAAGCTAGCAAAGTAGCATTTTTATGTCCCACATTATACTGGAAGTGTATAAGCCCCTGTGGGATCACAAACACATCGCCAGGATTCAAAATCTTAGAGAAGAGACGACTCTTAAAGACATTTGCATCAGGAGCAAGAAACCCAGCATAGATAGTACCCTCCAATATCGTTATGAGCTCAGTAGCTCGAGGGTGTGTGTGAAGTGGAACAAGGGCCCCTGGCTCGAAGTCACCACGAACTATAGAAATACCAAGAGTGTTGAGTCCAGGCATTGTGTTTACGTCCGCAACATTTGCAGCAAAACCAGAATTGGGCATTGGATTTCCACTTACATTAAGACCTGAAAAGAAGAAATCGTCTGCTTTTGCAAGCTTTGGGTCTTTGCAAACCTTTCCATTCAGGAAAACTGCACAAGTGAAATAAAATGAAGCTAAACATATTGTTCAGATATTAATAGCTAACAGATGATAGAAATTATATATACAACATAAATAGGCCTCATTCCCACACAGAAATTATAACATAATGTTTAAACGGGAAAGGTAAACAATTTAACCCTATATATTATATCAACTTGCTCAATTTTACCCTCAGTTTCACTTTTGGTTCATTCATAATCTTGCAATCGTCTCATATTTTCCTTTGTCATTAGCGGAGCTCTAACCTAAAATGGGTGAACTCCATGTATCTAAATTTTCTGTCACGAAAAAATGTCCAAATTTACCCTCCAGCTTTTGAATATAGTTTAAAATTACCCTCAGGCTGGAGCGATCCGTCAGGGATCAAGGGTAAACACGAAACGTTTTCCTAAAAACGAGTTAATATTAGGCCAAAAATCTAACGGAGGGCAAAATCGGTTGATTACGAATAATATAGAAGCAAACTTAACCCTTTTCCTTTGCTTTTTTTCAAAGAGAATGAATCTGTCAAAAAACTTTCGTGACTATAGAAGGATGATTTACTCATTTACCAGAAGCGTTAGTGTCTTTAACTGCAACACATATGTCTTGTAGAGGGTTGAGATCATATGCATAAGCTAATTGGGAAGAAAAGAAAGCAGTGATGGCTAAAGTTGTTATTAACCAGGACATGCTCATTGTTATAGCAAAGTCAGGTTTCTTAGCAAAAAGCCAAGCTTTTTGTGAAACAAGTTTGTTTATTTTGGGCTCGTTATGATTTTTTTTTTCAAACAACCAGAGAGGTGTGACTACTTATAGTTTGATCTAATCATTTTAATATCCTTGTTTCCGTCAGTCCAAATGATTAGTCCTGATAATTTCTCATTATTAAAAGCAGGTTCAAGACAAGAAGTAACCATTAATATAATCAGTAGTCAACTTTACAACTCTATTAGCTCATGGCTAAAATAATCAAGAAAATGGGCTATAGGTACTGTGACAGAAATGCCTCAACAAACCAATAATACATATTAAGTGGAAAATAAGATGTCAGCCTATCTTGACTCTTGAGTATTAGCTTTAAATCAGACTCTTTGTCCAAAAATGTTCTAATAAGTTGTTAGAGATAGACTTTTGGGAACCCATTTACCTATAAATAATAGAACTGAAAGAGAAGACAAGCATGCCTAATTTTAGAAGGAGAAGGTGCTACCTATACTGATGAATTTTTGATAACTTTAAAAGTGATGATTGACACAGTTTATTTCTTTTCTTTCTTTTCTTTTTTTGAGAAAGAACAGTTCATTTTCCCTATTTGTTAAGGGTTTGACTTTATAATCATGTGAAGTGCTTGTAAGCTGGTTTGACCATCTTTTAAGCCAATCCAAACATCATTTATATATGACGACCATTAATCAAGGCTTTTTCTTGTGTAGTATGTCTAAGTATTTCTGGCAGGGTTTTTCTTTAAGATAGCTAGTGGCAATGTTGTGTCTTACTATTTCGCTTTTCAGTGTCGGACCTATTTACTAGCTATCGCTTTTGTTAAGGGTTTGACTTTATAATCATGTAAAGTGCTTATAAGCTGGTTTGACCATCTTTTAAGCCAATCCAAACACCATCTACATATGACGACCATTAATCTAGGCTTTTTCTTGTGTAGTATGTCTAAGTATTTCTGGTAGGGTTTTTGTCTAAGATAGCTAGTGGCAATGTTGTGTCTTACTATTTCACTTTTCAGTGCTGGACCTATTTACTAGCTATCGCTTTTGCTTTGCATCTTTCTTCTGGATTTCATGTTGTTCCTATTTTCCTATGATTTCTGTGGTGATATTGATATTGTCTCCTTTTGTCTTTTTGTCTTCTTGAGCCGAGAGTCTTTCGGAAACAACCTCTCTACTCCTTCGGGGTAGGGGTAAGGTCTACACACACTACCCTCCCCAGACCCCACTAGTGGGCTTTTACTGGGTCGTTGTTGTTGTTGTTGTATGTCTAAGTATTTCATCAACAACAACAACCCAGTATACTCCCACGTGTGGGGTCTGGGGAGGTAGTGTGTACGCAGACCTTACCCCTACCCCGGAGGGTAGAGAGGCTGTTTCCGAAATGTCTAAGTATTTCATCAATTATCCAAAAACAATTAAGGTTCATTTACATTTCCAAATTAGACAAACACTGATGTTTCCTTTCATTGTTGAAGATCATTCATTTTTTTCCAGGCAAATTCGAAGCTAGATTGGTAATAAAAGTAGGAATTTTTACCTCCTATAGCAAAGGTTGATACCTTATTTATTTTAAACAAATATCCTTTTAAAAAATTATATTTCATAGCTACCTTTTGATTTTTATAGCCAAATATCTACTTATGGTCACCTCCTACCCTTAAGCCATAAAATACGCTTTGTATTATTTTTCTCTCTCATTCTTTTAGATTTTTTTTCACCCTCTCTCTCAACGCTTTGTATAATCGCGGAGATACAAGGACTACATAGCAAATCCGAAATTCAACGGGTAAAAAGCATGAGAGATTTGAGATAAGTTTCTTTTCTTCAAGTGTTTGGCCTAATATTGGTGTGTAATTTTCAGGTACCAATATACAGTTGTGCTCGGGGAAGGCATGGTGCCTCTTGAAGTTCAGATCCTGACAAAGGAGATGCACTTAAAATTTTCATTGTCAGTGGGCTGGGGCTCTGAATAAATGTCGAAATCAAGCCCTAGAGAGAAAGATCCACCTCATTCTGATGGTCGTTGCTTTGCAATGAAATCTGGACATGGCCACTGCAACTCTTGCCTCTCACCACCTCCATTGCTACTTTTCTTCATCTACCATATTCGCAATTACTAACAAAAGAAGACAATCTGCTATTGAAAATAAGGAATTTATTTCGTTTTTGCGCCAAATTTTGAGAGTTTCGAGTCAGAATCGCAGCCCTCTTGACGAGACGGCGTTAGGGTTGTTCTTGAACAAAGACGACGGAGTTTGGGGCTGAGCAACTTGAAGAGTCTGTTACCTTTTTTTTATTGTATTTCAATGTATCTCGCTGTATTCTATGTATTTCATTGTATTCATTGTCTTTTTTTTCGTTGTATTTCAATGTATCTTGTATTCCATGTATTTTATTGTATTCGCTGTCTCACTATTTTCCATGAATGTATTCATATATATTTTTTTAATTAATATAATTTATGTATTGGGATGTATCTATATATTCAAATGTATCTGCAGTATGTATTCATATGTTTTTGCACTATAGATGACCTGCTATACTTCATGTATTCAATATATTTTTATGTATTTAACTGTATTCAATGTAATTATATAATTTCTCTGAAGATTGCTATGTTTTTTGGGTGTTTTTCGATTGAGAATCTTTTTTATAACTGAAAATACAAACTTTGTGTGTTATAATTGAGTTTGAGTTATATTAGGAGTCTATTATGTTAATTGATTCACTTTCTGTATTAAAAACAGCCGAATAGACCATGAATTGCGCTATTTACGTTATTGTATTCACAAATACATATCGTGAATAAAGTCGAATATAATAATCTGTCTAGTTGTAATCCCCTGTTTCACGCCGTGAATACAGTCGAATACAATAATTTGTCTAGCTGTAATCCCCTGTTTCACGCCGAGAAATGCTACTGTATTCATGAATACATTAGCTTAAATATATTGAATACACTCTAAAAACCCTGAAAACATAACTATAGGAAGTAATATAGTAAATGGTAGCTACAACTAGTTGTGAAAATGTATACACACAAAAGTCAGAGACAGAAAAAGTTTTGCCCTAACTTGGAAAATCACATCCCACGCAAGGAATTGCATTTTTAACCTCCTTATTGTCTTCTTATCATTTTGCATTGCATATTCTTTATACATTTTGGTAATATATACTCCTACTTTAGTTAATCATGGTTTCTACTTTCTGGTAAGGTGCTTCAACATTGCCCTATCTTGGCTTATGGCAGATTAGAAAGGAAAAAAAAAATCAACCGATGGAGAGCAACAACAACAACAACAAACTCAGTGTAATCCCACAAGTGGGGTCTGGTATATAAAGCGATGGAGAGCAATGAATGAAAAAGAAGCTAAACAAAATGGCAGTTGCTCGATGTTGTAAATCAATAAATAGCAAATCTCTAAATCTTTCACGAAGTATCAAAAAAGAAACAAGGTTCATTTTCATATCCAACTAACATTAGTTAGCTAAATACACAGAGGAAGGAAAAGGAGGGCTTCGATCCATTGTGATTCGGTTTCTTGGTATGGAGAGATCTCTGCCATAAAAGAGAGAGCTCCTAAGCCTTATTCTGCAGATCAAAGAGTGAGCTTCCGCCTCATACGGCTCCTCTAGGGATGGAGGTAGGCCCAGCCCAGGCTTGTGCGGTTAAGGTTGTTGTACACGACCTCATAAGAAAAGAATGAAAAAACGATGCTTCCAGCTTCTGGTCTTAGGTGCCTGAATGCTTGACTTAGAGCTTGAACTAGGGGCAATCCAGCAACCATTTCAACTGGATACCATCAAGAGGGCCAATTCTCCTCCGAACCCTCGATTCAATTGTTTTCCAAGAATGTTGAGCCGGGTATGTAAACCATGTATCAGGGAGGAACTTAAATAAAAGAAGGGGTGAATCCGCTCCCATCTCTACAGAGCGCCGAAAGCTTATAGGATCTCTAGGCCGTAGAGAAAGGGCCTATGATGGAATCATTGAATCTCATTCGAATAAAATACTGATGTTACCTTTTATTGCTGAAGATCAGAAGGTTTTATTTCAGGCAAAATGGTATCATGACCTGAACTGCTTCAATTGTCTATAGAGCCATGAAATATATGAGAGAATTCATGTTTATTGGGGATGGTTCAATGATCTTAACTTTTCATTCAAGCCGTATACACCACAATCCAATTAGTATCACGAGCTCTGTCACAAGTCACAACACTCCGGTGCTTGATATTCATAACTTGAGGCCTTCGGTATGTTGAAATTCCCTGGCAGCTTATCCATGTAAAATACTTAGAAGAATAGAGCGAAATGGTATATATTATTCATATAGCCGCGCCCAATTCAAAGGCAACTAGTTGATTAATTGATTGTTAAAATGCTCACAAGAAAAGTACATGTTACTCAAACAAAGGTATGCCATGTACATATGAAAATTATGGAAACAAATGGTATACCGTAGATATATAAGAAAATTATGGAGATCACAAGCCAACATTTTGGCACTTGCTTGAGACTAACAAAAAGGAAAACCAAGACGATCTACCAAAGGCAAAGGGTCAAGAAGTTTTAGCTACGACTAAAGATCATCAAATAGGTGTCTATCAAACTCAACATAAGCGCGAAAAATATCACGCAAAGGCTCAAATTTCTAAGAAAAAACAAACCTAATTGATATGGAAAATGTGACATAATGATGGGATTCAATGGTCCCCGACGCTAAACCATAAGCTCATCACATTTGCTCAAATTACCACAAACATTGCATTCGATAACTGTCGATGGAGATGCATCAGAAGGAGGCAACGGAGCCAATGTACCCCCACAATTCTCTCGATTACACATGTACCTAACGAAGAAATACGCGTGAGGAAAATCTTGATCACCCTCCTCCACCTCATCATTTCCATTTACTTCATCATCCACATCTTCCTCCATTGCTTCATCCTCTTCCTCCTCATTTTCCTCGCCCTCGTTATCCATAGCATCGTCATCCTCATGATCAGACCAATTAACCTCGACCACACACCGATCACAATTACATACAAACCCATAATCCTCCTTCAACCTTTTCTGCCTATCGGAATACTTAAAATTCACAGGGAAATAACTCAAACAAATCTCTCTTCCCTCGGGAACATCATGAATAACTCTAACAATCATATCAACACCACTCCTATCACTAACTTCACTATCAACATACTCGAACCTACAAGCATTCGGAAGGCAATCGTGATTAAAAAACGAAGCCATAGGATAAATACCATAAGCTCTAACACCCCTTTCTTTATTAGAATCAAAAGGTTCCATCAACCCAAATGCATTTACCTTATCCTTAGCCAAAAGAGCAGCAGTAAGCTCTTTTGAGAACCCAAATTCACTCGTAGGCGGGTTGAGCGTAGCAACGAGGGAGTGAAGCAATAGAGCCTCATTTTCAGAAATAAAAGACGGTTCGCCTTGAAGGGATAATAAAACACGAAAAGAGGAAGGAGAAATGAGTGCTAAGTTATAAGCAGAGATTAAAAAACGAGCTTGAATTTGTTGGTCTATAAGTAGATTATGAGAAGATAAGATATTACGAAGATGGGTTAAAGATTGACAAACCCAAGGAGTGTGAGAAGAGGATAAAGCTATGGATTGACAATTAGAGTTACAAAAAGCTGAAAATGTGCACATTGGGCATGGGATTGGAGATTGGTGTATTATTTTGAAGCAATTTGAGCAAAAAGTATTGTTTGAGGGGATCAAAGGAGATGCAGAATATAGGAGGAGAGGGGAATCTTTGAGGACTACTTGGCCAGGTTTTAAGGGTTGAGTTGAAATAAGTCCTCTTCCTCTTCCTTGTATTTCTGCTATTTTTAATAATGGGTGTGGAGATTGGGAGGTTTTCTCCATTGTTGTGTGCTGCAATTTTTTGCTGCTACTGAAAGTTTGAAACTTACTGCTAGGGTTTTAGCAGGGGAAATTGTTGGGTTTTAGCGTTTCATCACACAGGAATGAGTTAAAGAAGATGGCAGATTTGACCCGATAGAGGTGCTAATTTGAAGCCCATGGACTATGTTGCTTTTGTATTGGGCCGAATTGCATAAATGGCCTTTTTGGAAGTCCCTTTTTAAATTTTGTCTCTTTTAACTAAAAAGAGCAATCCGGTATACAAAATATCATGCAAGGTCCGAAAAGAGATGGTACCCCAAGAAATATGATGTAGTCAGTCTATTCTAACGCATTTATCTCTTTTAAGTGAAATTACTAAAATAGCATCGCACTATCGATCGATTTGCTACATTCTGAAATATTTTGGTTTGGTATTTTCGATTTTGATAAGAACATAATTGTGGAACATTAAATTATTTAGACTATCGAGTTCCAACTTAGAGCTTTGAGCTACTATAAACCTATTTGGAGCTTTTTACGATCAACAAAGTTAAAAGCTTGTTGGTGGCAAGATCTACGTACCTTATAATTATAGTTAACTTTAAGCTCGCCTAAAAGAGGAGGTGCGAGAGGTTCGTCCTGGAGGGCCTAAGGAGAGGTAGAGGTAGGTCGAAGAAGTATTAGGGAGAGGCGATTAGGCAAGATATGGCGTTGCTCCAGCTCACTGAGGACATGACCAGGGAGGGATAAGAAGGTGTGGAGGTAAAGGGTTAGAATAGGTCGCGTAGCGTTGTCCTTGTCTGTAATAGTAGCTTTAGTACATGAGTTAGCGTTAGTTATGTATTTTCGTATTTCTTGATTTATGTGATTACTTATCATTGCTTTCGTTTCGGCATTCTAATTACGACACTCAATTTTAGTTTTGTATCTTTGTATTTTTGTTTCGGTTTTAGAATTGGTGTGATTGTTGATGCCCTTCCTTTTATCTTTCCTAAGTCGAGGGTCTTTCCGAAACAGCCTCTTTGCCTTCTTGAAGGTAGGGGTAAGGTCTTCGTACATACTACCCTCCCAAAATCCTACTTGTGAAATTACACTGAATTTGTTGTTGTTGTTTAAGTTCACCTAAATATCTCAAAGTCCTCAATACATAGATAATTCAATTTAAAAGGGAAAAAGAAATGTATGTCACATTATTTTGTGCCCTTTTGCAAAGTGCTCATTACCAAAATAAGTCGCCATTTTACTTTCGTTTTAACCTCCCACTTTCTTTTCGGGTCAATTGGTTATTTTAGTTCTTACAAACTTGTTTTTAGTTTTTTAACCATATCTTTTTTTTTATATATATATAGGAGATTTATTTTTACACATAAAAGATGTCTCTTTTACACATAAAAGATCTAATTTGCTTAAATTCAAAATTGTAAAGGGGCATGGTGTACAAATAACACATTTTCTTTTTGGGTTGCACAATTCAGTCCACCTTTTTTTTTGCGTGACAAGATTGCATTACAAAACAGAACCTTTAAAAGAACATCACCAAGTTTTGTTTCTTTTAAAGAACACAACCTATACCTAATTACAGGAAAAAATAAAATTACAGCAAACTAGAACTTGTCTTCTTACATTTCAAGAGAGTTGCTCAACACTTACACAGATGACTTAAAATTCATAGATTGTAACAGTACAAACATGTTCACGATTTGCTCGAGAACTGAGCTCGAAGATGTTCAATCACTTTCTTATCCAATCGAAAACCTTTGACAAGAACATCATCAAGAATTGGTGGATTCGATCCAAATAGTTGAAAAGGAATCATATGAACTCCAGGATTTTGGCTGTTGAAAACACTTAACGCTGTCGTATTAGTAGTTCCCAAATTATACTGAACATGAATAAGACTTTGTGGGATCACAAAAACATCTCCTGGATTCAAGATTTTCTCAAATAATCTTGATTTGAAAGGATTTCCTGGATCAGGAATAGTAAATCCAACATATAAAATACCCTCTAATACAAGTATTAACTCATTTCCTCTAGGATGAATATGAGGTGAGATTAATCCAAATGGTTCAAGATCAGCACGAGCAATTGAAATACCAAGAGTGTTGAGTCCTGGCATACGATTTACATTCAATATATTCACTGCAAAACCAAGATAATTTGGTATTGGACGTCCACTTTCATTAAAACCTGAAGCAAAGAAATCATTTGCAGTTGCTAGCTTTGGATCTTTGCAAACTTTTCCATTCATTAAAACTGCACTTAAAATGAATAGAACCATATTAGGAACATAATTTAGACATACATTTAGCTTTTAAGCAAACAATTAAAAGAAGTCAGCTCTATTCTCTAAGGGTCGTTTGGTTTGAATACAAGTTATGTTGGGATTAGTTACACCGGGATTAGTTATGCTAGGATTAGTTATGCTGATCTTATTTCTTCTTGATTGTTTGATATGTTGTACTAATCCTGGAATTGTCAGTTTTACTTTATCCTGTGATAACTTATCTTAGGATTATTATTTCACCCTATGATAGATGTAAGTTATTCCGATACTATTTTTAATCCTAACATAACTTATCCCAAGATTAGTAACCAAAAAAGGAATAAGGCACAAATAAATTTTTATCCCAGAATTATTTTTGCTTGTCCATCGTACCAAACGACCCAACAGAGTTAACACAATCAAGTCTTTAATAATGTAAATACCTGTCAATATTTGTGATAAACATTACTGCTAACATGGTAAAAGTGATAACTAACCACCATCATGTATTAAACTACATTTTTAGTGTAAAAAAAATTTTATACTGTCAGTATATATAATCATTAGCAGAAAGATGAAAAGAAAATAAAGATAGATGAATGAGTTACCAGAAGTGTTGGAATCTTGAACTGCAACACATAAATCCTGGGGAGGGTCAAGATCATAGGCTGAAACTAAGGAAGAAAAGTAAGAAGTAATGACTATAGTAATTATCAAGAAGGCCATGGTCATTGTTATAATAATTTGGCTGCTAATCATAACCACTCAAGAGTTCTTGGATTTTTAACAGTTGCCCATGAAATCTATCTTATGTAGTTGTATGTATGTTTCAAAAATTTATTGAGAAACAGCAAAAAGCAACCAATATTAATTTCAAGAAGAATCCTATGCTTTTCCTTTCCTACAGAGTTTCCCAAGAAAGTGGTCAACATTAGCATGTCTTTGTCTCACGATAAATATCTTTACATCATGTACCATGTGGTTGTTGGGGTGATATTACTGTTCGTTTTGAATTAAGCCCGCATAATTTTTTAAAAGGTTTCACTTGAATATTCAACATATTACAAGTAGATAAGGCTTTATTTACACACATCCAATAAATTCCCTTTTAAATTAAATTGTATATGATCATATTCATTGGCTAATTTATATTATCCATTTCTTTTTTATTTTTAGGCGAAATACATAAACAGACACTTAAAGTTGGTCTCAATTGTCAGTTTCACACTTTAACTTACCAAGTGACCATATAGACACCTCAACTTGACACAAATGTCCCATGAACAATCCAAATCTGGCAGATTACATGCGTGAGACACAACCGCAGATGATTTGGCAAACGAACAAATCAGTGAATGACACATGTAATTTCGATTGAAAAAATATTTAATCTTTTTATGTGGATTAAAAATTTAATTATCACAAACACAAATACTTTTATATCACAAACACAAACAAAATAGAAATTAAAATCAAGAAATGACCTCAATATTTCTCTGCAAATTAGACAAAACAACAATTTTGGTGGTGCTTTGGGTTTTTTGAAAAAAATCATGGTTTTGATAACTGGACTGGAGGATAACGTTGGCACTAATATGGTATTTTGTGTTATGGTGGAGTAAAAGCGTTTTGGCGTTAATACATGACGCTATTGGTACTTGGAGAAGTGGGGTTAATGGAGGAAGAAACTGAAATTTTTGGTGATCGGTCGGAGAAGATAGTGGTGATTCACGACATTTTTAGAGGTTTCAAGTGGCGCTCATGGAGAAAATATGGAGGACGATGGCGATGAAAGATGGTGAAGAGAAAGTTCTTTGGCTACATCTTTTGGCTGATGAAAATTGGATCTGAAAATGGTGGAGATAGGAAGGTCGGCTGCCAAGGCGGCGGCGGTATGGTGGCAGAAAGGTGGTGCTCGTTATTGCTTGATTAAGGATGAAGAAAGTGGGCCCCACATAAAAAAAATAAAACAAAAATATAATTTTAAGAGTTTTCACACAAAAAGACCACCTATTTGTTCGTTTACCGGGTTCAGCACGAAATCATAAATAAGCTCTACCAAGGATTGCCAATGTGTGATTTGTGTGAAAATCACACATTTTGCCATGTCAGCTCGGGTTGTCCATGGGGCACATATGTGATAAGTTGAAGTGTGTACTTGATCATTGAGTAAGTTGAAGTGTGAAAAGATATGTGAGGTCAACTTTAAGTGTCTTTTAATATATTTTTCCTATTTTTTTATATAAGACTTAAAAAACACCCAATAATTTCTCTTTTAAATTAATTTTATATGATCATATTCATTGGCTAATTTAGAGAGTATTTATGGCCACCAAAGCCTACCGGCTTCTTTTGTGGATGCATTTTTAAAGTTATAGGTAAATGTAGTAAACGGGCTCATAGACGTGCAAAAATACTAAGTTGGGCCCTACCCTATCACTCGTGAAAATAGCACGGGCTAGCCAGTTTTCAGAATGGTAATTGAAAAATAGCCAATGTTTGCAAAGTCATTAAAAATATCCATTATTTTGCTGCAACACGAAAAGTTTCAGCATAATATACTGGAGATTGGTGCACCTGTGTATGAACTTCCAGCATATTATGCTGAAACTCCAACACACAATAAGTTCCAACATAATATATTGGAGATTGGAGCACTTGTGTATGAACTTCCAACATATTGTGCTAGACTAGTATATTATACTGGAACTCCAGTATATTATGCTGGAATATTTTCCAGATTTTGAACAGTATTTTCGTTCAGATTTATCTTTACATGAAAAGTAGCTAAATTTTGATTACTTTTAAAACTGTGGCTATTTTTCAATTACCACTTATAAATCTTGCTATCTTTGAATTTCACCCCAATCACTCTGCTATTTTCGTACTTGTGTCCTATTGATACCAGTTATTGAATTAAAATGGCGTAAAAATATTTTTAATATAGTGTAATATTATCCATTTTAGATCAGACCCACACAATTTCTCTTAAAAGGTCTTATATTATTAATAGTGTTCAACACCTTATAAATAAAATCTTTTTCTTTTATACTTTATGTGTGGCTTTATTCAGAATCAAACAGTGGCTTGGAAAGAATGAAAGAATGGGCGGTGTGGTAGAATGACTTTAAAAAGCATAAAAATCTTCTGTTGAAAGGAAGGAATTAGCTCAATGTCCTTATCAGATTGTTTCTTTGTCTGGAATCAATACACGTTATCACTTCCACAAAAGTTTTTTTGTAGTATTGGGCCCAACATGATAAGGATAAAATTGTCATATATATTTCATCTCCTATTTAAATATCTAGTGTAAATCCAACCATGTTATGGAATTATATCGATGTATTATCACTTTTAGCTTGAGCTAAAAACTATATATATATATAACTTTTATATATTTTTAAGACTATTATTTTTATAATTGTCACGACCCAAATCCAGTAAAGGTCGTGATGGTGCAGGACACCACTGTCAGGCAAGCCAACACCAAATAACTACAAATTTCTCGTTTTAATATTTCTAAAATCATTTCTTTTATACATTAAACAATAAATAATGAATTTTACTGAATAAATAATGATATCTTTAATAATTTTTAAATATTGAATAATCCCATAGACATCCCAGAACCCGGTGTCACAAGTGCATGAGCAATTTCTAGGAAATAAAGTACAATACGATAACTGTCCGAAATACAATTGGACAGAAAAGAACTACTATACTGTGAAATAGACTCTGCTGGTTGCGGGTCGTCTCGAGAGATACAACTCACCTAAGTCTCTGTTCAACCATGCCGCTGCGCCCAACGAGTCCACTAGACGTACATGTGCTCGTGCAACAAAAATGCACAGCAAGTGTAGCATGAGTACGAAAACAACGCGTACCCAGTAAATATCCCGTCTAATCTCGAAGAAGTAGAGACGAGAGGTCGACTTCGACACTTACTAGTGGTCCAATAATAGTATACCAATAATATAGTAAATCGAGGATTTTATTATAACGGTTGTAACTCAATAGCATGAAGCAAGTAAACAATTCTTTTATTAATAGGGATTTTCCAAACTTATTTTCATCATTTATACATTTATCGCGGGCCAGGGAAGCAATATCATCATTATAAAATTGCAAGTCAAGCATTACAAGCATGCGCAAACCATGCCGAGGTCGTATCCCGTCTAATCTCGAAGAAGTAGAGACGAGAGGTCGACTTCGACACTTACTAGTGGTCCAATAATAATATACCAATAATATAGTAAATCGAGAATTTTATTATAAACGGCTGTAACTCAATAGCATGAAGCAAGTAAACAATTCTTTTATTAATAGGGAATTTCCAAACTTATTTTCAGCATTTATACATTTATCGCGGGCCAGGGAAGCAATATCATCATTATAAAGTTGCAAGTCAAGCATTACAAGCATGCGCAAACCATGCCGAGGTCGTACGGCTCGATCAAACAAATATTTAAATTGTGCATCGCTAGAGGGTCGAATGGCGCGCGAACCACAGATGCATCTATTACCCCGCTCGCGAATCATACATGCGATGCGGTCAAAGGTAAATAAACACATCAAACAGTCAATCAAGAATTCATCAGGGAACGATTACCCAAAGAAATGGCAACTTCTCATTAACGTAAGATAATTGATGTTTAATTTCTTTAGAAATTCATTTACCAATTCGATATGATTTAAGCAATTTAAAATGACAACAAGATTGCAAATATTACAAGTGAAGCATGCTTTTGGGCCCTAGACTATCCGGACTTAAGCATAATAGTAGCTACGCACGGACTCTCGTCACCTCGTGCGTACGTAGCCGCCACAAATAGAAGCACATATCCAATTAGTTCATCTACGGGGACAATTCCCTCTTACAAGGTTAGAAAGGAGACTCACCTCGCTCCTAAGTTCCATAACCGGCATTCCACGCCCTTCCGAAGACTCAAATCGATGCACAACGCTCCAAAACTAGTCACTAATTATGCAAACCCATTAATATATGCTCAATTACTCATAATAATCCACTTTATAATAATTTTTAACCCCGATCGAAAAGTTGACAAAATCGCCCTCGGGCTCACGTGCCCGGATTCCAAAAAATTTCGAAAATAAAGTTTGCCCGCAACCTCACGAACTCAAATATATAATTTACTCTCAATTTTATGTCCAAAATCGTGGTCAAAATCCAAAAATACCAATTTTCTAGGTTTTACCCTCAAACCCCAATTTTCTACTAATTCCCATACTTTAATCCGTATCTAAATCATGTATTTAACTTATAATGGGTGGTAACAACTTACCTTGTGATACTTGAAGAATATCTCCCCTTGAAGCTCTCCAAAATCGCCCGAACCAAATGAAAAATGGCCAATTCCCATTTATAAAAACCCTCACTGCCCCAGCGACTTTTCGCACCTGCGGCTCCTCGGCCGCATCCGCGCTTCCGCTTCTGCGGCTTCCTCTTCCGCACCTGCGGCTCTTCCCGCTTCTGCGGCGACTGGCATCGCACCTGCGCCATCGTAGGTGCACAAACATTTCTGCTTCTGCGGTTTCTCAGCGGCCTGGCACCTTCCGCTTCTGCGAGCAATCTCCCGCACCTGCGGGCTCGCACTTGTAGCCCTCCTCGCACAGGTGCTGTTACACAAGGTGCCCAGCAGCTTCAGCTCTTCCTCAACTCCAAATTTCGATTCGTTAACCGTTCGGAATCCACCCGAGGCCCCGGGGATCTCATCTCCAATCACACCAACCAGTCCCATAACATAACGCGAACCTGCTCGAGGCCTCAAAATACATCAAACAACGCTTAAACAATGAATCCCACTCCATTTCAAACTTGATGAACTTTAGAATTTCAAACTTCAACCTTCGATGCCGAAACCCATCAAATCTCGTCCGACTGACCTCAAATTTTGCAGACAAGTCCTATTTGACATTATGGACCTACTCCAACTTCCGGAATCGGATTCCGACCCCGATATCAGAAAGTCCACTTTCGGTCAAACTCCTCAAAAACCTTCAAATTTCTAACTTCTGCCAAATGACTCCAAAACGACCTACCCTCCAAATCCACATCCGATCGCGCTCCTAATACCAGAATCACCATACGGAGCTATTCCCATACTCGGAATCCCAAACGGACATCGATATCACTGAAATGCGCTTCAACCCAAATTGATGAAATTCTTCCAAAAATGTTAACTTCCACAACATGCGCCGAAATGCTCCAAGGTCATCCAAAACCCGATCCGGACATACGCCCAAGTCCAAAATCATCATACGAACGTGCTAGAACCTTCAAATCCTGATTCTGAGGTCGTTTACTCAAAAATTCAATCTTAGTCAGTTCTGCCAACTTAAAGCTTTCGAAATGAGGATTTTCTTTCCAAATCAACTCCGAACTTCCCAGAATTCAATTCCGACCATGCG